AAGAGCAACAACCCCCCCCCCCCCGCCGTCCCCCCTCCCTCTCCCACTCCCCCTCCAAAAAAAACCCAACAACAACAAAAACCCCGAAAAGCGCTCTGGTCCCCGGCGCGTCCTGGTGCTCGGTCCCGGCAAGAAAGGGGCTGCTGGTTCCGGTGCACCTGCGCTCCCGTGGCGAGGCACAAGCACGCCTCCCGTAAGTCGCTGCCGTGCGTGACTGCGCGTCGCCCCGCGCGCACCGCGCACTGGTGTGGGTTGGCGATGTCGCGGGAACAGCGGCGTCAGTCTCTCCTCTTTAACGAGAGCATCTCTTGTCTCCTGCTCGACGCACCCCGCATGTGAAGAGGCAGAGCCCAATGGCAGCGGGAAAGACTCTTGCGTGTGCGTGATGTTCTTCTTTGAGTGGTAGTCCTCGCGGATGCACGGCGCAGTATCCTACATGCACACTTCACACCTTGTGCCCCAGCACACTGTGAGGGAGAAAACGCGTCGCTGGCGTCTTGCTGCGTGGGGTGGGAGGGAGACACCGGTCATAATGTGGAGCTGTCTCTATACGCCCTTGACCCTGATGTGGGTTAATGTCCCACGTGATGCACAGAAACACTGATGGGACATCGTTTAACTGAAAGGGTTTGATTGGATGTAATTAACGCTTTAATGATTTCTTCCTCCTTAGTGAGGGATGTGATGATCTGTTTGGTTTTACTGTTTGGCATCCATTGGCTCGATGAGGTCTTTGTTTAATGTTCAAATAATTTCATGCTGTCATATTTCCTAATTTGACATGCTATCACTTCTAAAAGATTCATTTTCTATGATGCCAATGTCTATAATCGCTATAATCAAAAAGTGCTATAACTAAAAATATGAATTAATAACCACACATAAAAAGCTTGTTGTAATGACTTTTAGGGTTAATGATAGTTCAGAATTGCTAGTCTTTTTTTATCAGTGTAACACAACTGCAATAGTTTTACACTATTTTATTTGTATAATGCATTTGGGTTATTTAAAGACTATACATACAATAATATATATTATATATAATAATATATGTATATATAATGCTTATATGTATACAGGTTCAGTCCCTTATTTTAGTTAAGTTTAGTCTTTTATGTGTTTTTCAGTCTCTTTGCTGCCGTAACAATAAATCAATACAGTCTCATCTCATCTCAACACACTGTCCAATACCATTAACTGACAGGGGTAAATGTGCCCAGGCACTGTACCTTATTATGAAGTGTATGTTGTATGTATCTATGTATGTTAACAAGGCAAAAAGTCAAATGAAAGTTTACACCACGTCAATAAAATGACTGTTAAAATGCCTCTTTGTGTTCAACTGGAGGCTAAAAGGCCGAAAAGCAGTTCAATGTTATTGATGCAACAGTGCTCACTAACAATGCTTTCGTATTTACTGAAACAAATCAATGAAAATGTCTGTATTGAAAAATGTTTATTGTGCGGGTACTTCTTTGATTTAAATGCCCATTTAACTCTGTGGATATAGAGGTTATATTTTCCATTAAAGGAGAACATACACTGTTGATGCATTAATAATTGATTCATTATTAATTAAAATGATTCTCAAGCGCTGGAGTAGCAAGTCATCGCTGAACATCAAGACGAAGATGTGCACTTATGAAAGACTGTCCTTTCAATAATATAATTGTTTATATGGCTTTTGTTCTTTCCATTGAGCAGATAAGCTCACGAAACTCTATGGAAGCTCTATGGATATTATACAGAATTAACACCATTTTATCCTTTGGCCATCTATAAAAATAAATAAATTGTAGGTGTCATTTTTTTATGTTGTGATGAATCTTCTGATTCATTTGTCTTTTTATTAATTTGTCTCACAGTAGATTGAAACCAATCCAGCACATCAGTGGGCAGAATGACAGCTGTTAACATTGATCTCATATGGAATACAAATTATGTCTACTTTAAAATACACTTTGCTACAAAAATATCACTTTATGTTAGAATAATAATTATTCTGCAAGTGTTCTCCAAGGAAAAAACTATCCCAGACAAAGATATATTATTTAAATTTTAACATCTTAAATGGTGTTTCTAGGTCAAAGGTTAATGTCACTCTGGTTGAAACGTGGTCATTTGCATGTAACAGTGCAAGGCTACATTTGTATGTTAATCAAAAAGTAAACAATAGTATTATTTTCAGTTCCTCAAACACTGAAAATCCAATCTGAAAGATTACGATGTCGACACTAAACTGTAGTATAAATATCAGGATGCATTCCCTCTGTTGAAAAAAGTTTTAAGAGGTTTTAAAATGGTTCATCTACTTTCAAATAAACAGAAATTGACACCGGTATATTTACAGGCCCGGGTTTGCCTCGTCTCTCCTCCAAATAGTTCATCTTTGACAAAAGGAAAAACTGGATCTGCATCTTTTGTCCGGGGGGGTCGTTGTGTTCAGGAAACAGCAAATTGTGAAATGTTGTTTCTGAAATGTTATTGGGTTTAATTAAATGTCTTGTTTTTATCCCACCAACAACACAACACGTTTGATGAAATGCCACCCGACCTTTGAAAATTTGTCAAATCCAGGCTTTAGCTTTATTTATTTCGCTTGTGCTTTCTTTTGCCGTTGTGAGTCTGCAGTTCCTTTCACAATGATTACAATGACCCTCGGAAAGCCTGATTCGTACCCTTGATTGGTGAAACTTCTTCTCTAATTCTCACTTATGCAGCGCTGCCATTGTGAACAGCAACTACAGACAAACTTTGAGTGTTGTACTGATTACGCCAACCAGAGCATTTATGTGATTTAACCTCTAATCAGGGGGATCTCTTGCACCCCGCTGCAGGAAATTGTGGTATTTAAATGCAGGTTATAGCTGAGGTCACGCCCGGTTGGGAAATTTCCACTGGAGTTGTTCCGGCAACCCGATGTCCAAACATTCCTGCCTGATACGGCCGGCTGTTTGTTGACAGAGGGGAACAGGAGCTGACTGCTGGCAGGAATGTAGGCTGAGGGAGAGCGGAAAAGTACCGGAGCGCAGTCGACAGCTACCACCACTTCCGACCAGTTAAGCTCTCCGGGGTCTCCGGGCCCAGTTCACAACCAGTCAAGCACGCTGCTGCCTTCAGCGGCGATTACAGCCATAACGACAAGGAAAAACCCAAGTGGTTTCAGCCAAATATGAAGTATCAAAAGCCAAATTGCTCAATGAGCGACCCTGGAAACGGCCCTTGGGACTTTTATTTTGGAATGTATCAATCATCCCTTTTATCTGCCAAAGCTCAGGACTCACATTTAAAACATGTGTATCTCACTGCGCGGTGTTACTGGGATGCAAAGAACGTGTTATTTAATGAATCACGACGTTTACACAGATACTAACGGAGAAACTAATCTACTTCGATCTGTCACCTTCACTGATATTACATGAGATTGTTGTTGTTTTGTTGTATAACCAAAGTAGTATTTTTAAAAATTAAACTAAAGTATCATGCATCATAAAACGGAAAAAACGGAAATGCACTCGGCTCACTTGTCGCCATGTTGAGGTAATAGAAATGATCCCATCTTATTGTGTTAAGCACCTTTCATGAGGGTGTTGAGAAACACAATTGTTTGCTTGTAGAAAAGCCACTTTTCCTCTCACATCACCGCCCTCAATTTTCTTGTTTGTCGAACTCAAATAAATCGCCACAGGTGACAAACTGCTGACTGAGGCCTTTTTCTTTCCCAGAAGCCCCTCGTTCCAGTTGACTGACACATCTCATCCCTGCGTACGCTCTTCCAACGGACACATCTGCCTGAAGGACGACAATATTCCGCTGTGACTGGCAGATATAAAAGTGCTAAGTGACAAGAGAGGAGGTGTTTGAATCCAGACTATACTCCAAGCGAAACACATACAAATAAAAACCCGCTGCATAAGATGCTGATTCATGAAAATGCCCTGAAAAAGTTGTGGCTGATATGGTAGAACAGCGACTGACATTTGAAGAGAACATGATTAATACTTATTTGGGTATTCTGGGGCACAGATCAGTGTATAATAGCTGCTGTGAGCCGGCAAAGCCGAAATGATCCGTGTTATTCCATAATATCAGTCTCAGGTTGTTACTGCCTCCCACATGCCAGTGCAAACGGCTTTAATGGAGAGGCTGAACAGGCTGGCAGAATAAAGGACAATCCAGACACGACCGACACTTATATAACGGGAGATTGGACCGGGACACTTTGTTCCCTGACAAAGGCATTTCAGTTGAGAACACCGGTGGAAAGCCTCCAGCGGCTGGTTCTCAGAGGGTCAACTCGGGCCCAGCAGGAGAGGAAGGAGTAAACAAGGAGCAGAGGGCATCGGGCTGCGTTATCGAACTCCAAGCTGCAGTACCTGCCTCGTCTGCTAAAAAGTGCCTCCTGAAATGCAGCAGTTTCACCATCATGGATTCAATTCCTATTGGAGATCTCCAACATTGTGTCAGCAGTCTGTGTTTATCACGTTGCTGTTTTGACGTGACCATAAAAACTGATGTATTCTTTACACAGAATGTGTGTCTTAGTTTTACCTTTTTCTCTTTCTTTATCTGACCTAAACATTTTGTTGAAATGGCTTTATTTCTGCGGTTAAATACACACATTTTGCCCGACGGGGTTTTCATATCAACAAATGCATTTATTTTATTAATTCAATCACAGCAATCCCCATCACCAAGCAGTCTCCTGCCTCTCTACCAGTCCTCCACCCCTCTGCCAAATCCATGTGCTCCTTATATACAGCGGCCTTTGATTAGAAAAACACATGCAAACTAAATAAGTCGTTGTCTTTTTGTTGTGGACACCCTGTCCTCCACGTAGTTCCGATGAGCCGATTCCCCCCCGTGACTAACTGGACGGACTGTGACCAGCAAACGACTCGGTCACGCGCCTTGTCTGTTCGACCCCCCCCGGATTAGTCGATCAACCTTTTTAATGTATCCGAAGGCGAAGGCTGCCTCTTTGAAGGGGATTCCGCAACGCGAGCACCTAAGCACCGCCCCCTCCCGGACTTCCCATTGGTCACCACTGAAGGTAAATAAGAAAATCCCCGCCTCCCCATTGGCTGGGGTCCGTCCCTCTTCCGCGGTCGCTCGTGCTGCCCTGCTGGTCATTTGCGAGTCTCGTAGCGAAGCGTCGGAACCCTTCGCGGGAGCCCGGACCCCCCCCGAAAGCGACCACGATGAAGTTCGTGAGGTATATCATGAAAAACGCCGCTCTGGCCAGCGTGCCCAAACACGTCGACCACTTCTCCAAATTCTCCCCCTCACCGCTCTCCATGAAGCAGTTCCTCGACTTCGGTGAGTATCGATCCGCGATCGGATGGGACTTGTTTGAATGGAACGGACTGCGGGGAGCGATTCAGTGGCATCATCTTCCAAAGTGCATATTTGTGCAGTCGCCGTCCACACAGTGATGAGGGGGGGTCGCCCGCTGCAGCAGCACGGTGCTCACAATGCGGAGTGTTGCATCATCTCTCTCTGCGCCGTCTGATCCCTGTGACAACAACACCTCCAGTCGAGCTTTCTAATAATCAACACACTCATAGTTTGTCAAATCAAGTCTCTCCGTAGATTGTAAATGAGTGGGGCAGTAGTATTTGTCATGGAAAAAATGCTTACATTCAATAATAATGATAATTTGTATTTTCATTAGCAATAAGTTATTTTTATTTGTAAGTCAAATAGTTGTTTCGTCAAATATCAGATAATATCTAAATACTTCTTTCCATCAAAAAAGTAGGGTTGCAACTAATGATCACAGTCACTATTTAATTAAGTGGAATTGGTATGTGTCAGTGTGTAATGTGTATGGAAAAAAATATAATAAATACATTTATTTATTTATAAAAAAAGGGTTAGGGTGTAACATTTACTGTAATTACAGTTGAATAAAAAGCAGAAAACTTTGTTTGATGATGAACCGTTGAGTTTTCCTCGGCCCTGCTTGATGTCTCCTCCGTGCCGGTTCATCATCAGGTTCCATCAACGCCTGCGAGAAGACGTCCTTTGTCTTTCTGAGACAGGAGCTGCCGGTGAGACTGTCAAACATCATGAAAGAAATCAACCTTCTGCCCAGCAAACTGCTCACAACCCCGTCCGTGCAGACGGTGCAGAGCTGGTGAGTAACGGCCAGCGACGGTTTCTTTTGTTTGTTGTGATGGTGGAGGTTACGCAACGCCTCGGGCAAAACAAAGGAGCAAACGGCGTCTCTGGAAGCCTGTTTGAAACCAGGTTCCCCCGGCCCGGTGAGGGCGATGACGTCCCGGCTGCTGGCTCTGTTTATGGTCACGCTGTAGCACGATTGGCTCAGTTGAACTCCTTCCAGCACGGAGACTCTCAGCTCTGAACTTTCCCCCAGTTTCTCCTCCGAGGGTCACGTGATCTTGTTTTCAGGAGCTGCTGTTCTTTCCCTTTTGTGACGATTGAACTAGGGCCCAAAAATACCCTCCGCACGTATTGGAAAATAACCTCCTGTCGCACTCACTCAACTGTTTGTCATGAACTTTACAACAAAAGTGTTTGTGCCTGATTATATTTATTTATGTTTGTTTTTTTCAGGTACATCCAGAGTTTGATGGAAATCCTTGAATTCCTAGACAAGAACCCAGATGACAAAGTCCTGGGAGAGTAAGTTCCTCGTTTTGCTCGATAACCTCACATTTGTTTATTAACAGGATTAACACTCCCACCTCCGTCCACGGGGGCCGGCAAAATCCGCACTAACGTTCTTCCCGTCAGCTGCTTTTTGTGTTTATGTCACATTCTCTGGGAAAAGTAAGATTTAACTGATGGTTTGTCCTCGTTGTCTCCCCAGGTTTGTTGACTCCTTGGTGACCATCAGAAACCGGCACAACCACGTGGTGCCTACTATGGCCCAGGGCATCATCGAATACAAAGAGGCCTTCCCTCAGGACCAAGTAACCAACCAGAACATCCAGTACTTCCTGGACCGCTTCTACATGAGCCGCATCTCTATCCGCATGCTCATCAACCAGCACAGTGGGTGACTTTCCGTCTTCTTTCAAAGTCAAAAGTTAGTTTCTGCTCTTCTTGCGCTGGGTCTGTAATGTAATGTTTTCGTGCCAGGCTGTGCGACTTTATTATTTCACTCGCTGTCACTCTCTCGGCACCCAGTGGGGAGAACAAGCCTCACTGAAAGAAAAAAAATGTTGTCTCAAAAGGTTCATTTTATTGTCCCATCCATCATGGGATGCCTTTGTTTGCCTGAGGAGCAGTTTGAGTTAAGCTTGGCATCATAAAGTGTACGCATACACGTGCAACACGCGGTGCAGAAGGATGTGGGGGTGGGGGTTTTCCTAGTTTCTCCTTCTGTCTTCAGTTAACACATTGAAACGATGTGCCGTCCTCTTGTAAGAGCGTCACTAACTTTCAAATCGCAAATTTAATCAAATTCATGCATTACTTTATTTAAAAAGGTGCTGCGTGAAGCATTCAAGGAGATAAGTTAATGTTAATAAGTTTCATTTCGTTACCTCAGAATAAGCACTTCATGTGACTTATCTCGGTTCCTTTGTCCTCTGCAGCTCTCGTTTTTGATGGAACCCTCAACCCGGTCCACCCCAACACCATCGGGAGCATCGACCCCCACTGTGAAGTTGGAGACGTAGTCCAAGGTACAGCATGTTTGGAAATGAAAGGGTCAGATGATTGATGTCAAATATAATCCAGTTTATTAAACCGTGATGTGTTTTTCTAAGCTTTTCATTTTGGGGAAACTTTCTATCAATTACCACTTCTTTTTTTTTGTGTATTGCGATCATAATATCTGACCATTTTTGTATCCCTTTTTCATGTGTACCAGATGCTTTCCGCAGCGCCAAGATGCTGTGTGACCAGTACTACCTCCGCTCCCCCGACCTGATTCTACAGGAGATGTGCCGTAAGCTCAAGTTCATTTAATCTTAACGGGGGAGTTTGATTACAGAGCTGAAGCTCGAGGAAAAGGTTCATTGCGTCGGACAACATTGACCCTCAGAGCGGAGCAGAATAATTGCCAGCGATAATGCATTTTTCAATCCAGCAGAATGAATTAAGAAACCCTTTTTTCTATTGTGCAGGCACAAAGAAGAAGAACCTTCCGATAAGCATCGTGTACGTTCCCTCTCACCTTTATCACATGCTGTTTGAGCTCTTCAAGGTGAGACACATCTGTTCTGCTGATAAATGATATCACAATGACAAAATGCATGCGATGACTGCTTAAAAATGTCCTTCGTTGGGCTGCCCTTGTTTTGTAGAACGCCATGAGGGCCACAATCGAGACTCACGACCACAGCAGCACGCTGCCGCCCGTTGAAGTCATGGTCGCTCTGGGAGACGAGGACCTGTCAATCAAGGTGGGTCGCAAGTTGGAAGCACAGCTTCTTGAGACAGACAAATAAAAACTTCGTCAGACATTTTGGTAAAGGCGCAAGGAGCCCCCACTTGTGGTGCTCACATACAGTGCCTTGCGAAAGTATTCGGCCCCCTTGAACTTTTCGACCTTTTGCCACATTTCAGGCTTCAAACATAAAGATATAAAACTGTAATTGTTTGTGAATAATCAACAACAAGTGGGACACAATCATTAAGTGGAACGAAATTTATTGGATATTTCAAACCTTTTTAACAAATAAAAAACTGAAAAATTGGGCGTGCAAAATTATTCAGCCCCTTTACTTTCAGTGCAGCAAACTCTTTCCAGATGTTCAGTGAGGATCTCTGAATGATCCAATGTTTACCTAAATGACTAATGATAAATGATAAGTGATGAATAGAATCCACCTGTGTAATCAAGTCTCCGTATAAATGCGCCTGCTCTGTGATAGTCTCAGAGGTCTGTTTAAAGCGCTGAGAGCATCATGAAGAACAAGGAACACACCAGGCAGGTCCGAGATACTGTTGTGGAGAAGTTTAAAGCCGGATTTGGATACAAAAAGATTTCCCAAGCTTTAAACATCCCAAGGAGCACTGTGCAAGCAATAATATTGAAATGTAAATCTACAAAGACCCGGCCGTCCATCTAAACTTTCAGCTCAAACAAGTAGAAGACTGATCAGAGATGCAGCCAAGACTTACAGCTGTAATCGCAGCAAAAGGTGACGCTACAAAGTATTAACTTAAGGGGGCTGAATAATTTTGCACGCCCAATTTTCAGTTTTTTATTTGTTAAAAAAGTTTGAAATGTCCAATAAATTTTCTTCCACTTCATAATTGTGATCAACTTGTTGTTGATTCTTCACAAAAACTTACAGTTTTATGTCTTTATGTTTGAAGCCTGAAATGTGGCAAAAGGTCGAAAAGTTCAAGGGGGCCGAATACTTTGCAAGGCACTGTACTTATTATCGTTAATAGCAGGTGGATGGGAGTTTTAAAATGGTCTGTGGGCGTGTTTTTATGTTTTTAAACTCGGTGTAAACCAACGTGTTAACGGGTTTAATTAAGCCTGTTTCGCTGAGTTCATCTGAAGTTAATTCATTAAACAGACCCACTGAACACAATTCCTTTTTTAGAGGAGTCTCGCCACTTTTTCCTTTTGTCGTTGCCACCCGAATCCTTCTCTGAAGCCGTGTAATACTTCAGCCCAAGTTAATGACCGCGTTGCTCCGCTCTCATTACATTAGCTGCATGGGCGCTCATAACGCGTCCTAATGCCCATGTAATTACCCCGACGCGCTGATACTGCTTGTTGTGACTCATTCGTAAAACATCTAAACTTCACAACCAGAAGTAGCTACATCGGCCTTGAAGCTGCAACAAAATGATATTTTCATCCACCACAAGAGATTCAATTTGTATGAAGGCCTTTTTATTATTATTTTTCCGAATCAGCTCTATGTTTGGGTTCAGTCTCAACGCAGCTCCCATCACTTACACACCTCTACTATTACTAAAGTAGAGCCTTTAGCAGCTGAAGGGACAGACTAGTTAGTGGAGTTTAAAATGAAAAAGACGAGCATGCACATTCTGAATGATATTATGTAATTAGAATTGTTTATCCAGAGATCTACATGTGAGTCAATGTTACACACCTTTCTCTGCTCTCCTTTGTTACATTCCAATGCTAATTAAACCCCTCTCCGGCTGCAGATGAGTGACAGGGGTGGCGGGGTCCCCTTTCGGAGGATGGACAAGCTCTTCAGCTACATGTACTCCACCGCTCCGGCTCCACGTATAGGAGAGCGCACACGGCCTCCACTGGTACGCCCAGATGCAGGAAACTCATTTAGCCCTTGATTCAGATACTCGCTGTACTATTTAAAGATTGCAACCCTCCCGTGTGAACAGGCCGGCTTCGGCTACGGTCTGCCCATCTCCCGTCTCTACGCCCAGTACTTCCAGGGGGACCTGCAGCTCTTCTCCATGGAGGGCCACGGCACCGACGCAGTCATCTACCTGAAGGTGAGCCCGAAGTAGCCGAAAAAGACTGAACTCTGTGAAGCCAGGTGTGACTGGACATTCGTAACCACAAGTCCCCCCCCCCCCAACAGGCGCTGTCCACAGACTCTGTCGAGAGGCTGCCGGTCTACAACAAAACCGCCCTGAAGAACTACAAAGTGAGCCTGGAGGTGGACGACTGGTGCATACCCAGCAGGGAGCCTCTGGACCTCAGCGTCCACAAGGTGCCCAAGTGAAAACGGCCGAGCGCTTCGAGGCTACACGCCGTGAAACCGCCGCAGTCTCTGTCTTCGCGCTCCCATGTCAGCATCTGTCACGGCAGATGTTTGCACCGGACCTTTTTTTTTTTTTCCTGAAGAGAGGGTTATCTCCAGACTCCAGTCAGGTTTTAGTGATTTTTAAGGTTGCTTTTGGGTTCTTTGTAAGGAAATAGAAAGCAGCTGCTAGCGGATGGGACTTTGGGAGATGCAGCTCCAGCGTGGCGTCGTGCGCAGGTAGAGACAGAGCAGGTTGCACGTGTGGCGTCAAGGCCACTAGCGTGGGAACGCGAGAGGGCCGATGAAGAGGAGGGTTTGATGTATTCTAGATGAAGCTGGAGCTACTGAGCTGCTGACGCAGAGCCTATAGGAAAAGTCCCCCTAAGGCAGCAACTTCACCCAAAGGCTCATCTCCCTGAAGAAATTGGAAAAACAAACACCTCCTCTTGCAGCGTGTTTTTTTTTACTCTTTTGAGAGAACTGTGATACTGTTGGATGCGTAGATTTAAGCAAATGTGCCACTCTTAAATTCAGGTGTGTTGTTGTCCTTGCTGCATGGATATCAGTCAGAGCTTTTGATATCTCTAACTTTTTAATGAACGTATCATTGGGAGGGGATTGATAAGATGCAGCGCTAACTTAGCATCGGTTTCTCTGGCGCCTGCTGAATGAAATCCACTCTTCTTCCGTGCATTAATTTGTATTAATTACAGAGAGTGGATTGAAAGAACAGCTTTAGGGCCCATGTGCTCGGTGGGACAGCAGGTCTTTAGAGCCTGATCTGCCAGACTTGTTTGTGAGGTTTAAGGCTTCCAGAGTTCAAAAGGTGCACGTCATGTTTTAGTTCTGTGTGATCGAGTAAAGCGAGGCTGGTCTCAGATTCTTTGTTTTTTTACACTGTGCCATATGAGGAGAAAAATGATCCCTCGTCAATATGTGTTAAAAATGATATTGTTTTGTATCAAACTTATCTTAAATCAAACAGTAAGTTTAAGGTTATTTTTTTATAACTGCACGACTGAAAAGATTGTACATAGTGTGAATACCGTCCAAATAATAAAGAACAACGTATGTAAGTACAAAATGCAAAAGGCTCTCTGTGTCTTTGTGTGTGTGTGTGTGTGTGTGTGTGTGTGTGTGTGTGTGTGTGTGTGTGTGTGTGTGTGTGTGTATTGATTCTATGGATCAGCGGAGGACCTTTCCTTGTATCTGTGAGTTGAGTTGATATCTTCAGGGCACAAAGAGGGAAATCATCTCTGCCCCACAGGGAGCTTTATGTCTGTAGAAGCTCCTCCTCTGCCTGAGGGGACAAAGAGTGACGCTTCTGAGACGGAGGTCAATTTGTTGTTTGGGAAGGCGGCACTCGTGGAGCCAAAAAGGCTGACTGTCCGTTTTTTTTTTGTTATGAATAGAAGTGTAAGTAATCTCATTTATATTAGGTTATATTTTAAAGAAAAGTAGGCACCATGTTTTTTAAGTTCTTAGGGAAACTGGCTTCAGTAACTAGATTCATAATTTCAATACCATTTAGAAGTTTCAACAATATGAAACATAGTGTCGTTTTTGGGGGGTGCCCTTTTTCCCCCTTGTTAAACGGAAACTCCTGTTGATGACTTATGTGGAGTGAGGCTCATTTACGGCTCCACCGGCCGTCACCCAGCAGCCAGAGAAGCAGGATGTTTACCTCCACAACGACACGGAGGAGTGGAAGGAATCCAGAAGCGCCCTTTTTCCTTATCTCGTGCAAACAACCGGCCGACAGGGTCTCTACAGCAACGGGGACATCATGTCCGGTATCTGCACGGTGGTGGGTAACTACTGTAAAACACGGGCACTTCAAATAAGTCTTAGTTGACATTCCCCCTACTTTGCACTTCTCATTTTGAGAATAGTTTCTTTCCACACGTCATCCATTGCAAACCGCCGTGCTCCATGGTGACACTGAAAGGAACGAAGAACAAACTGATAAGATGTCTACATTTGTAACTAGTCTTTGCAAATTAGTTTATTGATCACTCACAGAACGCGTCTTTTCAACATTATCTCAACTCACTTATCATGTGCAATGTGTGATATATTATTATCTGTTACCCTGTGATAAAGGGGCAATATTCTAATCTGTGCAATATCCCCAGATGACTTCTCCTCCACCCCTCTGCAACATCACCATATAACCCTTCACATCCAGAAACAGCACTCAGGACGAGCCTATTTATTAACATTTGTTTTTAAAAACGGAAAAATTAAACAACAAAGTACTCTTTTCTTGTTTAGCACACTCTAATTCTATAATCTTTTATGATTCAAATTATTGTATTATTATAGTGAGCTCTTCTGCTGAAGTAATTGATGCCAAGTAAAAAAGGCAATTGTACAAGAAGTAAGTGGGGACTGATTCTTACATAACTATTGAGCCCCTGTTGTCGTCCCCAGAAGGTTGCGTTTGTGACGTCGTCGTCTTGGAGTCTGTGAAGGCAGACGGAGCTTCAGATTCATACATTATGCATCGCGTTTTTTTCTTCTCCTTTTCCCAGATGTTCTTCTGCACAGGCACAACTTTGCTGAGCTTTTTTCGGACTGAACTTGTAAAGAGAATAGAACATTACATGATGATAAAAGCCAATAACTAAGTCAGACTCCAGTTTTACACCCTTCTCTGAAGCTTTTGCTTTAACAAAACAGTACGTCTATAAGAAGAAAAGTTACATTTTACCTTTATTAATTGAGTCACTAAGTGATTAGTAAAAAGACAGAAAATATGTCTTATTGGTCAAAATGAAAGGAAATATATCAAAGTTTCAGTGCCTCCAGCTTCTGAGTGTGTTTATTATATATTTGTGCAACTTGATATTTTTGGGTTAAAGACATCAATTTTGGGACTTTAAGACATTGTCAATGCTGTTTTCAAAGAGCAAAGATAATATATCAATAGAGAGAATAATCAACTGATTAATAAATAAAAGAAATAGCTGTTAACTACATTGATAACTAACTTTACATGCGAAATTAAGTAAAGGATGATATAAAAATGGTCATTTTTCATGAGGCGAGTGTTTACGAGTTCACGAGTGTTACAAGTCTCCCCAGTACAACTCCACCCACTGGAATGTTGGACTAGCAACCAAAAATACCTTCATATTGGTCTTAATGTGGTTTTAAAACTAGTAAATACTTTCAACCACTTTGCGCTTTACATTTTACAATATTTTGTCTCGTCCTTATGCCTTTTTCAGAAATACAATTTCTGGCTGCTGTTCTCCACTGGACTCGACATCAGCTGCATTATTCACATCTCCATCTGGGTCAATAATACAAATCTACTAAATTTAAAATCTAAGCTAGAGAATAAAATGCTCACTCTACAGTTTTGCAGGAGAATGTCACGTGTGGATTAACAACACTTGTGCCGAATGCTGAAGTCCTCTACATAAAATATGCAGTCCGTCTGAATGTGGAATGGTATTCAATCACAGATGCACTTAACCAGAGACAAAATAGGCCAGAATGAAAAACAAACCTTTTCTCGTGAAATAGAACGACTTTTATAGAACGATGGATTTATTTGATTTACTTTAGGGTGATGACAATTATGGGTCTTTCTTTTTCTTTTTTGACGGCTACCTATTATGGCTCAATGGACATCTATAGCAAATGTCATGCACCAGGTGGCGCTCTAAACCCAGTGCATTAAAGCTGCTGTGGGAGTGGTGGCACGGAGTTCTCGGAGCTTCTGATCCAGGAGCTGTGCGCGCACAGGAGGCCTCCACAGAGCCACCGCAGACCCGAGGGGCCCACTCGGGCCCCGGCAGCTCGATCGATACCAGTTCAAAGTCGGCAGGTTGAAGGCTGCACCCTCTGAAAAGTACGAGCCATTCCTCTCGTCCACGTGCCACGGAGGGAGAAATCTGATGAGCTTTAATTTTCCCTTTTATGGTAACAGAGGGCATCACACAAGCGGTTACGTTCGCTCCCTGCGACTGTTTTACAACTTAGAGGAGGGCCGCGTCATCGGTGAAATATGAATCAGGACCATTGGAGCTGTGGTCTGCAAGCTATTGGACCAGTCTGACCAGCACCTCTCACCACGGGAGGGCGGGGCGTAGGAGCGAGGGAGGAGGAGGGGCGGGGATAACGAGAGGCGGATTCAATCCGATTGGCTGATGGCGTCAGCCGGAGGCGGGGCGCAGGAGGGAGAAACTCCAGGAAAAAACGAACGTAGGTCTCTCACGATGTAACGAGAAAGGTCACTTAAAAAAAAAAAACGTTTCACGAGAGTGAAGTTTGTTCAAGCGCGAGCGCATTCCGGGATGTTTCACCGCCTTAAATAGAAGCCGGAGTTTAGAGGCAAAACGAATTATTTCACCATTTCAAACCACTGGGTACTTGTGGAAATATATGCGTATATATATATATATATTTATATTTATTTATATTCCGAGGGTAGTCAAACATGACTGAAAACAGAGTTTGGCGAAGTCGAGGAGAGCCGCGAGGCGACCACTGAGGAGAGGAGGCGTCCGCAGCGGCCCGCCGAGGCTCACCTTCTGTCGGCACCTCACAGCTACCTGCTCGGGCTCTAACCTCACTTCTTCCCGCGAGCTAAAGTCCACAGCATGGCTGAGCACGAGAGCCTGGAGTATGGCAAGGCGGATTTTGTCCTCCTGGACAACGTGTCCATGGAGGAGTTCATGGCGAACCTGAAACTCAGGTAAGCGGCCATTCACCTTCTTTTTTCCGATTTTTTGTTGTTGTTGTAAATCCACGCACGCTCCGGAGAATAACACGAGCAAACAAACAAACACACACACACACACACACACACACACGTACGTACTCGGGGTTTGTGGACAAACTTTGTGTGTTTTTCCAGCATTGTGCGTTTATCCGGAAACGTGTCCGGTTGCGTCCCTTCAACAGGTGCCACCGGAGCGCGTTCACTCGCACTCGTTAACGCGACCGGCCCAACGAGGCAGCGTGACGTCACACACGCAGTCCCCCCCCCCCTCCGGTGCCTGCTCTTGATCTAACCGGTAATTCTGTTTGGTGGTGCGCGGACTCCACCCAACCTGCACGCATGCACGCGCATTCACACATGCACGCGCACTGTCTTCCGCACACCGATTCTCGCGCAGGCCGGTTTCCATCAGCTGTGTTGTCAGTGGCGCCGTGTCAAGCATGTTCTTATGAATGAACAGAGCCGCTGTGTGTTGTGGTTCTACCTTATGCCCCAATGGCCTAAATCCCATGTTTCATTACTCATATATTAATTATTAGGTCTGTTATGGGGCTCTTTTTGAAGGAAGGGTCGTAAAAATGTCAAAATGAAAAGATCATGATCTTTATCAATGTTGTCACTTTGCACCGATGATAACGGATCGTTAATCATTGGGTCGATATATCGATCGAGACTGATCCTTCCGAGACGATTCGTCGAGTAAGCTCGAGATGTATCGTCAAATGTGTAATAAAACTAAAGCATCACGTATGAAACTCTAAAGAGTCTTGTATTCATGTGATTGACTCTGCAGTTTTTCTCCCTGGTTCTTGTTCATATTCATTTGCAGGCTGCACATACTGCAGCACTTGGAAGCGGTTCATAAAAACCTTCACGGCCTCCTCGCTCGATAAACGTCCAGGGTTTTGGACAATATTCCAGACGCGGCGGTGATCTGTGGGCTAAATATTTGGAGTGTTTGAAGGATGCGCGTTCTCCCTTCTAAGGACAAGCAGAGCGAGCTACAGGACTCGCTTCATGCCGACAGGAGGGAATGTCCCCCACAGCAAAGAGGTTGTTTTTATTTACATGTAGATTGTTATCCATCTGCTTGTTTTAATCAAGTTTAATGCACGCAGGTAGTTTCTTTCTTCTCCTGCATCGAGAAGCTTCCGCGGTCTGTTTGTTAAAGTTTGAGGTTTCATTCATGCTTATGTAAGGGCAGCAGGTGTAGACCTTTTGTTCTAAAAGGTTATTAACACATTGCAATTCTACTTATTTGGTCTTATTATGTGATCTTTTTTTAATCGTGTGATTGATTATGATGATGATGAGTGAGTCCAAAGATGCCATTTCTTTCCATCTTTCTGATTGGGAAAATATGCAGCTTTAGCATTTCTTAAAATTCAGTTACTTTTAATAACAAATCATGTCAAATACATGTTAAAAGCTATTTTCCCATTCTGCAATTCTTTGGAAGATGATCAGCAGGTGAATCGTTAGTCGCTGCCCCAAAGCTCTACGTCTGCATGTGTGTAACCGTGTGAACGATAAGCTGAACGTGTCCCTGAGCTTTTCAAGCCGATGACTTTCGGTGGAGCGAACAGAAGCAGAGAGCAGCCAGACAGAACCAGCCTCCCTTTCCCTGTTTGTTTTCCCTCAAACAAGACTCCCCCGAGGTGGCGTGCACAGATTGTTATTTGTGGAGGGCGTGAGCAGCCAGCAGCAGGGCGGGTGGGAGTGGCGCTCTTGAAGGAGGGTTCCAGAGGGCAACAAGCTTCTAATGGTCTCCATTTGTCCTGGAACACTGCAAAACATGTGGGGCGCCAGCAAGCCCGTCTGCACATCTGTCGTCGCTATATTTTAAGCCAAAGTGCATTGTGGGAAATAAAATAAAAATTCCTCACCATAAAAGCTTAGCTCTAAAAATAACATTTTTAGTTTTATTTACAAGTTCTCGGAGAGAAAGTAAAGCACTTTATTTAACACTTCATAACGTGTTCTGCTTGTGCCGTAAAGAGCTTTTTCCTTTTCTTCCTCTCGCGCGCCTGTTCAAGTTGACATTAACTTTTGTTTTGATTTTTGAGGTGGAACTGCCTGGCCGGTCTCAGTGAGCCTCCCAGTCCCTAAATAGAGCCCGACCGATGCCTAGTCTGCGTTCAGGAGAAGTCTGGATGGATCAAAGGTCGGGCTGAGTTGCTGTAGCGTCTTTGGGAATCAGCAGAGGAGATTTCTTAAAGATGAACGTGTGTTACACACCTATTGGAATTATGGCAAAATATTAATTAACTAGCTACAAGTCGGACAAAGCTGTAAATCGATTTGCTACGATATCAACGTTTCCATGTCACAATTATTAACACGGTTCACAAGGCCGACAATCTCATCACAGTGTCTTGAAATACCCCAAATGTCTCTGAAACGTTCTGGCAATTTCCTTCCCTCCTTTTCTAAAACAAACAAATATCTTTTTACATCACAAAAAAATCAAATTAGGAGTCTAAACAAGGTACCCATCAATCATTAGGACCCTCTTTTATAAATGAAGAAGAAATATAAAAAACAAAGTACGAGTGCTCCTCCCTCATTATTCAACTGTATGATCCACGCAGAGTGATTTAACCTTTGAACCCCTCCATGGGTGAGTTCTAGAGGGCTTTGAACAGGAAGTCTCCAATAATACGGAGCAGGAAAGCTGGCATTTCCTCTGCGCCTCACGTTACATTGCTTCCTCCAGCGCCTCTTCACAGCCGCGTTGGGACTCCTATGTGCAGAGAAGATGGGCTCGTGCATTTGATATTCAAAATTGCGGGGGAACAAATGCCTAAGGGGGCATCGGTACATAAACTCAAGGGGTTGCAAAGCGTTTCTGAAGTGAAAGTTGACGCTGTTTTCCTGCTGTTTCCGGGGGCCTGACCATGAAAGTGCAAGCAAAGTGCTCTCACCTGCTGTCCTGAGGAACAATGGGCCTCCTGTTAGAGGAGAAGAGGTGCGGTGCAGAAAGGGACGGCACGACTCTTTGTCCCCCGCATATAAATCGGAGGGGGTCAAAGGACGCACATGGAGAGAAGCTCAGGGTCACACTTTGTACTTCCTGCTGTGAGATACGGCGCCCTTAATGAGCCCGCCACTTTGAATCGGTGATGCTGAAATGTCCTTTTATGTCGCAGGTTTCTAAACCTTAGGGCAATAAAGTAAGCTGTTCAATTATTAGTGTGAGCGCTAGCTGAGTCAGCGTTTGGCTCTGCCGAGTCCGGAGATAACTGGAAGGGCTGTTTCTTGAAGTGGGGTTGTGTAAGGTATCGGTATCAGTCAGGCACAAGGAGGGGTGTCATTACAGCTTCCTCGATGCCAGTTCTCTTATTGATGTCGGCTTATCAGTTCTTTGATTATAGTCCTAGGAAAGGTGATTTTACTGGTTCAGAAAAAGTGTGGTGTGTGTTTAGTTAGTAAATATGTCACTCGTCCTCCTCCCTGCCTCAACAAACGTAATAAGTCACCTTGGATTAAACGTGAAGGACGTGAACGTCATCCTGCAAAAACCTCCATCGGAATAGGTTTTCAGACGGGCTTTGGGAGAAGTCTGAATGTTGTAGTAGAATAGGCGTTCAGCCTCAAAGCATTTTGAAACCACCACCACTACCACCATCATCATCATTAGCTTGATCTCACATATTTGTTCTCTTTCACGCCGTTTGCTCCTTCCACTCTCAGCAATAAAGAGCAAAGTCTGTGAGCGGAGCACAGAGTTCTGGCTGACGTCCTCACTCTGCAGCAGAGATGGAAACGGGTGAAACCGTGCAGCAAATGCCTCAACCCGCTTATTATAGTTTTTTTTTTTTCCTTTCTAGCGGTGGTCAGTGACTGGAAGAGAAATATTTATAGACCAGCGCTCAGATAGACGACGTTCTCCCGCTGGCTTCTCGCTGAAAGTCAGCTACAGACAGAACCTGATAATGTTGGTCTTCAAAGCTTCTGGCTGTGATTGAAGGGAAAACTTGAGAGAGGAGGAACCGGGTCTGACGGACCAACTGAGGTGTTTTACGTATAAGTAGTTGTTACTCTAGTTCCCCCGCGCTCTCCCAGGAGACTCCTCCCCGTAGGCCCGATCCCCCGCGATCCGCCAGCGAAAACGTCCAGTCTCGCCACAAGAATTTCCATACGAGCGTCTGTAATCCGAAACACACTTTAGAGCTCTTACATAAACACGGGCTGCGCTCGCGTGGTTCTATAACCCTCAGGAACGAGCCGGCTCACAGACACGTCTCACTCTGTACCCGCGGCCCCCGAGCAGGCGGGCGAGGTCGGGAGGAGGCCATCTGACACAAGCTCCACTTCTGCTGCTTCTTCTGCTGCTTCTTCTTCTTCTGCTGCCTTTGGTGTCATTGTTTCTTACCACCGCGACGCCCGACTTCACTCCTCTCACACGACGTAATGTGTCATAGAAGGTTTGATTACAGAGGACTTAAGGCACAATTGAAATAAAATGTGGTGCTTTATGCGACTGGTTATCAATACTTCTCACCCAAACGTGTCCATAAAAGTATGTTTGGTCAGATTGCTGTTGTTTACTTATTCTTTGATACATACTTGTGTAAGTGTTGTTTAGCCAGCCGAGGTTCAAAGTTAACTGGAGACCGAAGGATCCGTTCCCATCTCATCACATGATCTCCAGTCAGTGGATGTTGGAGTTGTTATGGACTCTTTTAAAGTTATTTAACAGAATTGGGACCTATATTCTCCGTGCGCTCTGTGTTGTGACTCTGATAACAATAATACTATTATTGGTAGTAACACTACCAAAAAGCCTGTGTTCTAATTTAGATCAACAGAGGAAGGCTAATAACTCTGGATACAGCTATTAGGGCATTTTACTGCTTTTAGGACTTTAAATAAGGGCTTTTCGTGTGATCGTACTGGAAAATTGATTTTCCTAAAATAAAAATGATTAGCTGGTCTGATCACTTATTGCTTTTTGAGCACCTCCTGAATCC